AACCAATGAGGGTATAATCTAAAAGTATGTTATCGATAGTTTTTAGTACCATCACGTTAAACATAAAATATAAAACCTTCTAGCATGCCTGTTTTTAGTTTACTTGTAGTCTTTGCCTAGTGCCCAACTCAGTTTCTAGACGTGCTATGCGTTTTAGGCACAGGGAAAAACATTCTTTAATGGGATGATTTATTTGGCTATGTAATTAACTTAACTCTCTCATAAAACACACAGAGATGGAAAGATAGAGAAGGAGGGAAGTCCCTCCTGGCAAATGGTTGGTGGAAAAGCTGTATGGCATTGCAGAAATTAAGTCAGGAAAGGATGAAAGAAAAATCATTATAAGGCGTGAAAGCCGTAGGCAAATAGAGGGTGTGCAACTGCGTGTAGGAAGGAACCAGCTCAAAACTTCAGCTTGGAAATGTACAGAGCTGCAGAAATCAAGGTTTAAAAAAAAAAAAAAAAAGGCATTAGCACACATGGAAGAAGAGACAGAACCAATCAAGGGATTTAAGAAATGAAGAAAACTACACCATAACGTGAGAAACTCAACATTTTAGTGGCAATGTCTTTCACAGATAGGAAATCAGGCAATTTTCTGTAAGGCCCTGCCAAATTATTTTTGCTTGAGAACAAATACCTGTAAAATAAAAATTTTGCAGGTACCTGAATTTATGGTTATAGTCTACAGTGAGAAATAGCCAGATTAAGTTGGTCTGCTGTTTTATTTTCTAACATTCTGTAGCATCTTTTTCTGAAAAGGTGACTAACCTCAGATCTAATTTCTGGAGCAGACGGTTAATCTAGATGGTCTACTATCTATCATGGATAGAGGCCCTCTAAAAGTTCTCTCATAGGTGTGCTGAGAAGTGACATTTTTAACAGCAGAGCATCAACAAGGACTTCCAGGAATTATAAACTCTTTTTGCATGCTCTGAAGACAAACTATGCCATGTTTACATTGAACACTTAAAACTTCTGGAGTCTCTTTGTACCTTCGGTTTTGTACTCCTCTCAGGAAAGGAATCATTAACATCCTTCAGTGCCTATGTTTCTGTTACTATGGCTATTCTGCTACATTTCTATCAGCAGGTCTGATCTGCAGGGTCCACACCAGTACTTTACGTCCTTCATTTTTTTGTCCAGGTTTCTTTGATCAGTTTTCAAAAATCCAAGTAAAGTCAGAAGAAAAGTTTAAGACAAACAGTCTATTCATTAACTGTACCACCTGACAACTGGTGTCACTGATATTAGTATTTACTGTCCACCCTTCTTCCTCATATTCACCTATCCACTACTGTATTACTGTTTACCAGATTTATTCCTTCCACCATAAGTACAGACTGCACAAATTCCCCTTTTCTCTTTAAGGAGAAGAAAGTTTTTTATGCTAACACTACTCCCAGGCAACGTCTACCAAAAGGTAGTATCAGCAAGAATAATATCCATGAATGCCTCCAATAGAAAAATACCTCAGTGGAGTCCTTACAGCAACAGTTTGGGACACACACCGTTGTTCATCATTTTGTCATACCTTTGATTTCCTGGGACTCCAGTGATTTCCTTATACTTCCACTTCTCTATTATCTCAGACAGTTTTTTCAACACAAGTCCTATCATTATTCTCAATTTGGAAGCCAATCCTGTTTCCACTATGATATTTTTATTCCCCTCAGAGCTGCAGTACCTACCTAAATCTAGTGTTTCTTCTTCTACTCAGGACAGTTTCATTTTATTCCCCCCCCTCCCCTCCTTCTTCCTAGCTAGCTTTTTAGCTCCATAAGGCACTGAGGCAAGTTTGTTATGGTCACTTATGGTGCCTACACCACCTTGTATTTGCATATTTACACAGATAAATATGAAATGGAGAATACCTTTCCACACGTGATTCTCAGGCTCTTCTGTAGATTCCAAATACTCTTTTCAGCATCCTTTACACTGATATATCAGATTTATGCTGGGGAGCATAAATCTTTACGGGGGAGGGAAAAGCAGGGAAGAAGAAACAAAAAGACTATGCCTTTTGCTATGATAGCACAGCCTGCAGCTGTGCTGTATTTTCACCCAAGAACTCCTCAGGCTCTGGCCAGGAGCCTTTGCCAGCAATCATCTATTCACCTTTAGCTTCCAGACTTCCCCCTCCATTTTCAGTGCCGCATAGTTGTATCTCCTGGGCATAGGCAGTGCATCTTTTCCAGGAACACAGGAACTGAAACTATGGCCCTTAGCCACTGTGGAAAAGGCAGCATAGCTCACTCCCTTAGAAAAATTGAGGCAGGAAATGTTAAGGACACACATGGCTATTCAAAAGCCTCTCAGCTACATACAGAAGAATGGTTGACCATTTCTGATAGTGATATAAAGCTAGCCACACAGTAGGCTCACATGGTTGTCTTGACTCTTAAAAGACAGGTTTTGGGTTCCGTCACACATAGAATATTGTTTTCAAATAAAACTGATGTAACTGTGTATATATATATAACACCTTTTTTGTGTTATATATACACACAGAGATCCCTGCAAGCGCACAAATATCCTCTAAGACTATTAACCCCAGGGAGCTTTCTCTCTGTACTACATCATTGTATATTCTGTTCCCTGAGGCTTAAGCCATATTGCAAATAGCCCACCATTGGTACTTGCTACTTCATAAACTTTTAGTTTCTCTTAGAGTCACACCCTTAATACAAGGCAAATATTCACATGTGGCACAATTAATGATATTTTACAACTTAGTTTTTGATGAGTGAAGAAATTTTAATGCAGTTCTGGAGATACTTATAAAAATTTAGAACCAAAGATCCGATCTGCTAATTGTATGAAAAAACTTGCAAAAAATGCTAGCCTCACCACAAAACACCTGGGTTTTCCACACAATTTGCTTTGAAAGAATGTATAGTTCATAGAAATTGACATGAAATAAAGACAATTTTCAGTCATTCCTGATATGTGATAAGCTTAAAGAGTAAGCTCAAATGAAGTTTTCTGTTAGAACTAGAAATAAAATGTGCAGAAATTTTTAGGTGACAGAAATTAGTCGAGACTAGTGAAAAGGATAAACTTCAGAGATGCCCAACAAAAAACTAGGTAGAGGGAGAACACTGTTGTAGATAAAACAAAAACTGAGTTTACATGTAGATGCACTGACATTCTCTGTAGCCATAGGCATTACTCAAAACAGCCTCCATGTGACAACTGTGTTGTTCCTGAAATACAGTATCCAGGTTCATTACTCCATGACAAAGCAATATGACTGAAATAAACACTGCCCATAGCTAAAAGTCTAGGGTACAAGTGGAGGCAAGAAAGATCCTGAATAAGATAAACTGGTGGAGGTTGGGGGGGGAAGACTGCTTACGGTAGACAATAGATGACATGAAACAATGGATGTATATGCAAGAATAAATAGCAGACAAGTCTTCAGTTGCCCATTTTCCCTTTCTAAATATAAGAAAAAAGACATTCTATGAATCCGAAAAGCAAGAAGTTCAACACTTGTATCCCCCAGTACATTTTATAACAATAAGCTGTCTTTATAGTATTTTTTTTTTAATGAAGCTATTTAATTTAATACTGGTAAAAAGGTTCAAGTGTTTACCCAGTTTACATGACCATCTGATGCTATTACATTTTCGTTAAGAGTACGTCCTGAAATACAATAATTAGATAACTAACAGATATGGGAGGAAAAGGCAATTCTCCAAAAGGTCACTGAAAAGATTCAGAAAACATCTGAGGGATGTCTTTTGTACTTACCTCTGAAAACTGAGGGAAAAAAATTCTCATTTGTGAATTTAGTTTGTAAGTAATCTTTTTCCTCCATTCAGCATAGCCTCAGACTCAGCTTTTACTGATTTTCTCAGTATTCTGATACTACTTCTATCAATGCTAAAATACAGCGTCTCATGGGGCAGCTGGAATGATAGGAAGGTCTTTAAGGATTTGTCCATTTGAGAAAGTTACAAGCATAACTATCCCCTTTTACTTGCACAAGCCAACTCCCCAGAGGGAATACCCTGATTTCCCACTAAGTGGGAAAAAGCTTTTCAGCAGCAAAAGCTAAAGTGGGAAGAAAAAGCACTCATTCTTAAATAGATACTTGCATAACAAACTAACAAGTATATGTATACTTGTAAAATAATACACAGGTATACATATATATATATATATATATGTGTATGTATATATATATATATATAAAAAATTACTCCCTTACATGGGAAAGCCCTGCGGCAAAAATCTCTGTGCTTATAATGCAGAGAGCTAGGCATGGAAAGCTTAAGAACAACTCAGAAAAAGGGTCAGAAAAGCAAACAAAAATCCAGAAACAACTGAATTTAATAATTCCTCTGTTATAGCATGAATTTGCCCAGCCCATGGAGTTTTTCATTTCTAAGTTCCATAAGTTTGAATGGGCTATAGCCTTATTTTTCTAAATCCTTATAAAAATAAATGCTTTTGTGGTTAACCTCAACTAGCTTTCCATATATAGTTATAATTTGTTTTAATGTAGAAAATTCAATAGTGGGTTTAAACAATTACGAGGTACTTAAATTCTTTATGCTTTTTCCTCAAGACCAACTGCCTATGAAATTAGACCAATTTAAATTGCCACTCCTGACTAGACTTTATTGGTCTGTTCTTGGCCTCTTTTTTAAAGACCTCATTATCTTGCACTGGTTTGCTTTGTATTATTCATGCAGTTCAAACTGACAGCCAGAAGAGGGCCTCATGGAGACAGCCCAGGTTACCACCATAAGAATCCTCAACATCGTCACCAACTAACCTTTATAAAGCGGATTAGGGAAGCGGTGTTCAAGGTAGTTCCTATGGAGACGTTTTTATTGAAAAGATTTTTGATAATCAGAATAGAAACAGGAGCCACAATTTATAGGAGATATTAGGAATGTATATTATAATATGACCTTAAAAATAAAAAGGTCCCTGTGGTTTTATTAAATATGAAGTCCATGCAGTAGACAAACCAGCAACAGACAAACTTGCAAACACAAAACAGTCATCCTCTTTTCTTAGAAAGCACCTGCATGTTCATTTGTAATAGGATTCTCATGACTTGTCCACACTCTTGCCAGTACATGGATTAGGCCATTTATTCACCTAAACAGTGGGTCTGTTTTGAATGTTGTTTTATTGAGTCAGAAAATCCTGGCCCAAATCCTCACCTGACGCAGTAGGTGAGGCTCCATCAAAGTAGGATGGCTCCATCAAAGTCCTACTTGGGATCTGATAGGATGTATTCACAGACATTTATTTTCAATTATTTCCTGTTTGTTCATTATAGCTACAGATTTCTTAATGGTTCAATGCATTAACAGTATTCTGCTTTTGAAGTTTGTTGTTGTTCTCTTCCTGCCCTTAATCACCACCTCCAAGTACAGGTTCCTTGCAACCACTTTGGAAAATTCAGTGGGGCAAATAATTTGTTTTCAGTAAATAATTATCTAACAATGTCAATAGCTTGTAACTTTAGAGTAAGCTTAATAACGATATTACTGAAAGATGACATTAGCTTGATGCTTAATTACAACTCTCAGGTGATCCTTTAAAAACTATCCAAAACAAAGCCCTGTGTAAAAATCATCATTATAAAACATTTTACTCGTTTTTAACTTGACTGTACTGCCAAAGATACAGAAGATGGGTCAGCTGATCGTCACTTGCAGTATCTATCTGCTTTCAATTTTGCTCTCCTATATGGAAAGAGTAATGAAAAAAGATTTAGATTAAAACAGAATATGATTGTATTTGAATATTTTATCTGCTTCAAAGTGTTAAGGAGGCATTTAAAACTTTACTTCAAAGTATGTATAAAGGTCTGACAATACTTTTGTTTAGTAATTTTGTTTTCTTAACTATTAGAACTATAATGTGGCAAGTTAACGTTGTCTTTCCTCCAAATCATCACAGACTGCATTTTGTCAGATCACTCAGAAGAATGTAGTCAGATCTAGAGTGATTTGAAAGTGACACTCAATCTGTGATGACCAGAGAGCGCCCTCACACCACATGCAACTAGGGAACATCAAAAATAGTCTTCTGCAATCAGATTCTGCAATTTGAATTAGTGCAAACATTTCTTTTATATGGCATACTGACAGAAAATATTTTAAAATTTCAAGCCAGTTTCTATACTCTTTGCTCAATTAAAAAGAAAAAAAAGAGTTACTCCCACTAGATCACATAAAGTCACTTCTCAATATATGCTATTTCCTCTATAAACACACAGCTCTCCCCTCCCGAAAATGTTCTGGTGCCATGCGTGTTGAAAAAGTTAAAAATTAATCTAATTTTTATGATTAAAACAAATTCTTGCATCCTCTGTACAAAACATACTGAACAAACCCAGTTAAAGGCTTCCACAAGAATTCATTTCTTGATAAATCCAAACCTGGAAGCTTCAGCTAAAGAAGTGAGAATTCAGAACAAACCCCAAAACACAGGCAGCAGGACCCAGAGCAGAGAGGAGAGTTTACTGTAATTCCATCTCCCGATAGTTTTTAATTAGCACATTATTTTGTGTACTTTAAAGTACCTGTCAAGCAGTGTTTCATGAAAAGTGCCTTCTTTCCTGGCTTTTCTGAGGGCTTTTGTGTCTTCTTTGCTTATTTTGAGTTTTTTGTCTTGAAAACTTTGGAATTTCTTTCTACAAAAGAAAAGAAGTGTAAAAAGTGTAACTTCCCTAGAGTTTTGTGTTTCAATAAAACAGCAGCTATAATCAGAATCTTAATATCTGTTATGCAACTGGTCTAATAAAATCCAAGCAAACCATCATGATATCAAATATTGCCCTAAGACTTCTACAGGTGCAAACTAGTCTGGCATTTTTGGCATTCTAAGTGGGAGAAACATGATTGACACAAAGTAGTTACAGGTTTTAAAGAGTCCCTTCCACTATCAGCATCACCAGTCAGGGAGTAAAGCCCCCTAATGTTTTCCTGAAACCAAAAAATTTGGTACTTGAGCATGGAGAAGTCAGAGAGAGCCGATTTTAGAACGCTGCCTGTTAATGGCTTTCAATTACATACACGTAATTGATTTCACACTGTTTAACATTTCCTTTGTCTTCTTCTGGAACGTCATCTTTCTTCTTGGCTTCTCTTTCAGCACAACTACGAATCTAGCCATTGAGAGAAAAACAAAACAGAAAATGAGTATATATAAAAAAATGTTACAGGTTAAAAGACGACAATATATGCTTCATAACAGAATACGAGTCACAGTGACTTTTTAAATTCTCAGATTTTCAATTTGTTATTTCATAACTGGAAACAACTGAGACAACTCAGATCGAAGACAACTGTAACAAAAGCAGCAGCTCTAGCCTGAAGCATGGGTTAAGTCTAGTCCTTGACAGCACTGTAAATAATACAATCCCCTTCATCTCAAAGGAGCACCATTAAAATTAGCAAGGGTAAAATACTTTCCTATCTCTATAGGAAATACCTTAGCTTATGTAATCCTGGTGCTCATTTGCCTTTTTTGAGGCCAAATCACCGGACAGCTTATATAATACGGTTATAACTACATGCTAACTGTAAACTGTAGCATACAGATACTGGGGTAAGTCTGAATATTCATACCAATGCTGCATTAATTGTACAAATTCTACATAATATCTATTACCTTTATCATTTCTTCTTCTCCTGCAGTTTTACTTTTGGCTTCTATGTCTCCCTCTTCATTACATCGAATAAAACGGCTGTTTGCTGCTAGTAAAGCCATTTTCTTCTGCATAAATAATATCACATATTATTAACATAAAGAGTTTGTATATAAATCTTGATTCGTAACATTTAGCCTCTATAATATAATAAAAAGCTGTGTAATTGTGTTCTGTTCTTTTCTGTATTGATGCTCTAACAGCTGGCAGTATTACTGTCTCCTTCATTTCTGAATTGTATATAGCTGCCAAAATGCAGTAACTTGAAGTATTTAAGAACTTTCAAAGAAATATAATAAATCATGGTAGTTAGGAAAATAAAAAGTTAGAAGTTATAATACTGGCAAGGTTTCAAAAGGTTTTTACTGCACAAAGAGTATTTTAGTGCCTTGTCTTATAGACTTAACTCAAAATACAGTCGAATGCCAGGAACATCAAATGAATTATTCCAGATAGCTTACATCTTGGAAGACAGGTTCCCATTGCTCTCTTGATCCTATAGCATCTGAACGTCCAACGACAAGTCCATCTGAATTTATACCAAGGTATTTGCCATAACCAGACTTCAGAGCGATCCTCAAAGTATAGGAAAACAATAAATCCTGTTTTGAATTAAAATAATCCACAATATCCAACATACAACAGTCATGTTATCATTATACAGTAATTTTGAAGCGACTATTAAACATGTATTGAAACCAGAAGCAAAGATAACAACAGTCAAAACTTACAACATTTTGTTATAGTACTCACCTTGTATCAGACAGCTTTACTGCTGTAAATTGCTCAGGAGGACTAGGGCCTTCATCATCTGAGGGATGAATTTTCCATTACTTACGTATGAAATATTAAACATTCAATATCTTAACCTGTTAACGCTGTGGAGTTTAAAGCAGCCTGATGAATTATATAACAGCTATTACTACACACTTATGTACCACGGAAGGCTGCAATGCCAGATTTTTTGAAAACCCCTTTTGAAATATACACGCTCAAAAAAAAGAAAAAAAACCCACAGGTGCTTATTTATGTTCATATAGATAAGAGTGCTTGAAACACGACACAAAATAAAGACAGTCCTTGCTTCAAGAAATTCACAACTGAGAACGTGTCGTAATTCTCCAGACAGCTATGAAAACCTTAATCTCCTTGCAATATTATTTTTTCCATAACAAAACATATTATGGTTCAGCTAAGGTAACATAAGTGACTATTCTGAAAGCCACTAGCCTCTCCATCCCTCAAAACTGAAATGAGATAATACTGCCATCTTTGCCTTGACCTCAGTTTGAGAATGAAACACACTTTCAGGGTTTTGGAATAGCCCTTGTTTGACTGATGGCTCTCAGATTCAAAGTGAGGGATAAGCTAATTATCTGGCCGCTCTTGCATTCCACTTAAACAAGAGAAGAACAAGTATAGCAACACAAGCCCTTGACAATAAGCCTTGAAACTCATCTGACTCGAGTTTCACTCTTCAATTGACACCATAAAGATATTACAGAATTTAATAAACGTTATACTGCTTTTTACTTAGTAAGTGGTAAGGCTTTTATTGGGTGATCATCTCCCAAGTAATTCAGTTTACTGTACACATAAAAGAGCAAGAAACTAGATAAGTGAAACTGACTGTTATTAGTTTTAAGTCAGTTATGTACTGCAGCTTGTGTTCTTACATTATTTACATACTTTTAGTCTGTAAAACTGCTTGCCTTTAAACCTTGCTGCTTTTTTATGCCTTGCATTACTAAAACTGCCTCTGTTTTGTTTTTAAACAGATTTCCCACAACAAACCTTTATGTGGTGCTCCAAGCGTAAACAAGCCATTGTCAAGAGCATGGATGTAAGCTCCTTTGTCCATTTCTATAGCTATAGTTCCTGTAATTTCACCGAAATTACTGATGGCCCACCAGTTTCCTAAAATACAAAAACACAATATGTAATAGAATAATTAACACTTTTGGTTACAGTAGTTCAAGAGATGGTATTCCTGTGTCTCTTCTGAGATTTGACTTTCTAGAGATGGCAATCTGCTACTATATTTTAGGATCTTTGTGCATTACACTATGCTACAAAGCCAATTTAATAGTGAGCTGCTGCTGAAACAGGCAGTCTTGCTATTCTACCCCCGCCCTGCCCTCTCGAGTCACAGGCTTCTGCATGTCATCCCTTCTTTGTGCTGTTAGGGGACAAAGTAGGACCTAGCAGAAGATATATCTTGTAAAGGAGATATTTTTTTCTCTGGTCCAGCCTCCTGCAGTTCTGTGGTCACACCCAATTATTAGATTCTCCAACACAAGAGAAATGGTAAAATCATCTCTTTTAGCAGCAACTTGCTGTTAAATTACTTCACGTGAGCTGTAATCCTTAATTTTAAGTTGTTCAAGCTAATCTGCGTTCGGACATTTGAGTCACAAAATGCTACCAAAGTCAAGGACAGCCCTATGCACGTTCCCTGAGTGAAAGTTCTTACAACATTTATATTTTTCAACAGGTAAAATAATATATCAAGAGGAAATTTTAAAGTATTTTCTGCCTAAAAGCAATAATTATTAATCTGCATAAGGTGTTCTTTTTCCACCCAGTAAATTCTGCAAGTCAGTCTTTTTCTTGAGCAGAAATAATCATCTCCTATCTCCACACAATATATGAAGCTAACTGTCTTGCCCCACACAGACAAGGCTTGCAGGCCAGCAAATGAATTTTCCAAATCTCTTCCAGCACTCTTCTGAAGTCTGGGTGAACTAAAGAACAAAGAACATCAACAACACTATTTCACATTTTCCTAGTCACACAACAGCACGTTTCTTCATAGATCACGTTTTGTTTGAATAAAGGAATAACGAAGACTCTTCACGCGCTGCTATAGCTTTGCCCACATGCATATAATAAAAGATAACGTTTATCTTGTAAGCCATACGATGCAGTATGTATCTGCCTCCCTCATGACTTTGTGGTTATTTTTTGGTTGTTCTTGTCCACGAAGTGAGCTGTGATGAATCAAGGACAAGAGAGATTTGAAGGGCAACAGTCTGTTAAGTTACAACTCATGATCAAAACCTAGATACAACTTCGATTCTCCAATTTTATGAGAAAGAAACAAATAAAATTATATTTTGTTACTGATTAGTATTTGTGTCTTCAGTTTAAATTAACTGTAACATTTGATAATGTGAACACATCATAGTTAAGTGTGACATATGGAAAACAGAGTGATACTCTTTTGTTTTTGAAACGAATCTCTTTCTTTTGAAAGAGGCTGATCTCAGTGACTTGTTTCTCACTATCATAAAAGTTACTAGTGACAGAGTAGGAACTGAAAACACAGCTGATCCAGCTAGTAATCTGCAAGTAACAGTAACACATGAGAAAGACTATATATGTGCAAATGCATTCATTAAATAGGAGCATTACATGCTAGAAAATTCAGTTTTGGGCAGAAGGCTCTTCTGAAGCAAATACTATGGAAAACAAGTGAGACTCAAACAGAGAACAGTCTCGAGATTAAAAGAGCACATACTTCAACTAAAAAGACAAGCGTAAAATGCGTCTCATTGGTGCCAAAAGTTCCACCTGGAGTCTACAACGACTGCAACATGCAGGTTTACAGCTATTTGTCACCACACGTTATTTGCACGGGGGACTACACGCAGCTGAAGGAGCCCTATAGAAATCCCTTCAGCTCCTGCCAACACCTGTCATTTCCGCACTGCCCCATAACTCCTGGGAAGCGACTCACCGACAACGTCAAGTTGTTCTTCCGCATCCTCCTCCCTTTTCCTTTTCTTGTCTTTGTGCTTCTTCTTGCTGCAAAGTGAGACAGAGCACGGTGGGAAGGGGCCCCCGAGCCAGCCCCCGGCGGGCAGGGGAGGGAAGGAAGGCCGGCCGGGAGCCGGCGGCGAGGGGAAGGGGGGCGCACGGGCCGGCGCCCGCCCTCA